TGCACCATCTCACATGGTCGTGCTTCTGCCGGCCACTGGTGGTGACCAGACCATGTCTCTTCTCATGGGCACCCTTTTCGCCAGATCTATGCCGCATCCTCTGTCCATGACACCGAGGCTCCTGCCTTCGTGCTGCACTGCCTTTAGCACATCTTGCTAAATCCGGTTCCTCACGCTGAAACTTGCCCAGTGTTTCCGTATCTCGCTCCTTCTCCGGCGTCAACCTCATTGACCGCACATGTATTACCTCATCCTTAGCTTCCGGCTTAACTGCTCGCCTTTGCCGGCCACCTTTTCCGGGACACTTCAAAGCCCGCCTACTGCTTTCACAGCCGCTTCCATTTCCGGCCACCGACGTATCACCATTGCAACGTGGTTCAGTGGCTTTCCTCCCGCCGGAAACACTGCCTGGCTCGCCATGACCACTTCCTTGTTGTGACCTCTTCTTCACTGAGCTGGCGGAACCGTCACGCTTTTCCTGTATCGGTGAACCACTTCCTTCTCCTGACGAAACCATTTCGTCTCCATCACTGCCAACCTCTTCCCAACTAACCACTTCCTTTTCTGGTGGAATCTTCGGCACTTCCTCTAAGACCAACCGTCTGCTGAAGCACTGGTTGTCGTAACCAACAAGTGGCACTTTCCTATCGCCATAGGTTAGGATCATTATTATTATTATTATTATTATTATTATGTATTTATTACGGCCACGAGAGCCTAATTCAAGTATCATTAACAATTTGCTATCTTATAGCTAGGGTTTTACAATATTCATACAGTTTTTTCTTAAAAACTAAGATTTCATTACAGGTTTTTAAATCCATAGGGAGTTCATTGAAACATTTTAGACCTTTATAGAAAATGTTTTGTTTATCTATTTCCGTTCTAAACAATGGCAGTTTAAAATTTTGTTTATTCCTTGTATTTACATTGTGTGTTTGCTCTACTAACAATACATTTTTACTAAGGTATTCAGGTACATTACCATGCTTTATATTATAAATTAACTTCATGGAGTGAAAGAAAATTTTTTGCTTAACACTTAGCCAGTTTAAACTGTTCAGCATATCAGCCGTTCTGGCATCACTACGTTTTTTAAGTATAAATCGCATACACCGGTTTTGAAGCTTTTGAAGCTTATCAATTTCACTATCTGATATTATGAATAATATCGATGGACAATATACAAAATGTGGCTCAATAATAGATTTATATATAAGTATTTTATATTTTTTATGTAGATATTTGGATGTTCTCTGCATAATCCCAATTTTTTTAGCTACTTTCGCAACGGTGTATTTTATGTGTTCCTCAAATTTAAGTTTATTATCAATTATAATACCTAAATATTTGATACTATCTACTCTTTGTATGCTTTCATTATTTATTTTCAATTCAACGTTGAGATCATTAAAGTTTCTTCTGGTTATAATCATATATTTTGTTTTGTTAATATTAAGTTTGAGTATATTTCCGCACAGCCATGTATATAAATTATTTAGTGCCATTTGCATTTTCGATATAGCGACATTAATATTATTTTCACTTATCATAATTAATGCATCGTCGGCGAAGAGTCGAATTTCACATCCCTCGACGGCATTGACAATATCATTAATGTAAATTAGGAACAATATCGGTGCCAGAACCGACCCTTGTGGTAACCCTATGGGTACTTCCAATTCCTCCGATATCGCTGTATTTATCACAGTTCGTTGCCTTCTCTGCTTCAAGTAGCTGCTAAACCATTCTAGCTCCGTACCAGTTATACCAATTCGTTGCAGTTTTTTTAGTAATATGTCTCTATCCACCGTTTCAAATGCCCTTTTGAGGTCCAGGAATACCGAAACAACTACATTCTTATTGTTTAGCTCTTCTTTCCAATCAGCTATCACCAAATTGAGGGCTGTCTCACACGAATGTTTTTCCCTAAAGCCCGATTGTTGTTGGACTAAAATTTTATTTTCTTCGAGGTACATCATCAGTTGATTCTTGACATGTACTTCTAATATTTTGGCATCACTTGGTAGGGTATTTATTGGTCTAAGCTCTTCTGGTTGTATTGTCTTTTTGACTTTTTTGACCGGTACCACTGTCGACGTTTTCCACCGTTCTGGTACAATACCACTTTCCACACTATCATTAATAATAAGTGCATAGAAGTACCCTAAATACTCTATAGAGTCTTTCAGTACTCCATCTGATAACAGTTTTCCTTATTTAAATTCCAAAAACCGAATGCCAACTTGAATTAAAGGAACCAACACTGAAGTGAGTCAAAATGAAAATAAAAGAGCACAAATTTCTATGTAAAGCAATACTCTCTGGGAATCCTACGAGACATCTGCCGGTCATATGATCGGTCATCTAAATGGGAGATCTGCAGTCTTTTGGCATCATATTTTACGTCAGAATTTAAGAGATTTCTGAAAAATCTGACCAGTTCTTTTGTGTAACTGTGATTTTGCATCCCTTGTCAACATATGGCCTCGCTTGATGTTAACTTAAGGTCGTTGTTTTACTGCATTAAAATTGAGGGGACATTTTTACAGCGTTTTTTATGTGTATTGGTTTCTATCTGAGTGTATTGAGAATCGGTCAGTCTGAAAAGGCCTTGCAGGGAAGACAATTATCACTCAAAATATCAGATAGTAATAGTAATAGATAGTTGTTTTTGCCGAGTACCTTTCAAATCATTGGAATTAACTAAATTAATTAAGTAAACAAGTATTAACTTACATTTGTCATTTTAAAACCGCTCCAGCTTGTAAATTTTTAAATTTAACGAACTGGTTTATTCAAATTATCGTCGACAAAAAATCCAACCATGTGCCACAATCATATGTTTTCCTAATTGCAAATTCTTGCTGGCAAAATTTTTTCCCGCTCGAATTTGTAACTTCTCTCCAAGAAAAAGTCTTTTTACTCGTGATTTATTTAAATAAAACATGTGAAATTTAGTTGAATAATTTTAGCCGTTTTTATTTGCCAATTTAGCCGGTTCGTCCAAAGAGTCTGGCAACACTGTACCTCAGCGAAAATCAAGAATGATAGAATCATTGTGCGGAAATGTTGTTAATGTAATAATAAAGAAACATTTCGGGAACGGCTTTGACGTGCCCTATGTACACAAAATGCAGCGATTCGTCCCAGCGCTACACTTGCATCTACGCATCTTGTATCTTGATGGCTGTCGCAATTTAACACACAGCACTTCATTTTATTAGTTTTTACGCAGTCTTCAACTCAAAAATTGCAAAATTAACACAATTTAAACTGATTTTTAACTTATAATGCGAATTTCTCTTTCGCTGATTTGTAAACAAAGGTTTATTTACAAGTTACCACAACTGTCAATATCGGCAAAACCAAAGTAGCGGTACCACTGACAACGCCACCTTTGTTCGCTGCACCGTGAGCGTAAATGTATTTTCGCCAGTGACACCACCTTGTATAAATTCGCCTTGAAGTTACCAATTGTTCACCTATTTTTAGTGCAAAAATTCTACGTGCAAACTAGGTGTAAGACAGTTGGCGTAGTCTGGCAATAATGTAATATGTCAAATTTAGAAGCATACAATCTAGTGAAAAAGAGGAGCACAATTTTCACAATCTGTGAAAATATTTGATTTTGCAACTGATTTGGTTGTCGGGACGGCATATTACACGCGGATAAGGAACGTTTCAAGTTAGATCTACGATCATGTTACGAGTGTGTATAAATAAATCACACCGGTGAGTTCACATTACAAGAGATTATGAAACAGGCAACTAATAATATCGGTGTGGATGTCGTCATCGTTTGTTAATTTTGTTGTTCTTTCGTATATCCTTAGGGAAACTGCCCAACGTGTTACGTACCTCTGCACAAAAGTCATATGCTCCAATCATTCCACCCTATGCAACAAAGCTGTTCGCCGGCTTCCCTATGACGAGCATGGTCGGCCAGTGCAATTTCAGCAATGTGCTCCTGCTGACTTTCTTAGTCCTCAGCAGTTTGGTAGATATGGTTGGTATGCTCCGCCATCGCGTAAATATGGCATGTTAGTTGTACGTATATTACGCGGGGCTTTAAAGCTTAGATATATCGTACTTGGTGGTGCTATCGGCGGAGGAGTGTCACTAAGCAAAGTTAGTATAAATGAACCATTATTCTTTGTCTACATTCTCTTATTCGTACGTACATAAAATTTATATTTACATTGATACTGCAGAAATATGAAGAGTGGAAGGATGNTGTCACTAAGCAAAGTTAGTATAAATGAAGCATTAACCATTATTCTTTGTCTACATTCTCTTATTCGTACGTACATAAAATTTATATTTACATTGATACTGCAGAAATATGAAGAGTGGAAGGATGGTTTGCCAGATATGAAGTGGTTAGATGATGTTTTGCCGCAGGGCGACAAATGGGGTACCTTTTCAAAAAAGTTAATGGAAATTAGCAGTGTTATGAAGGATGTGGTTCAAATAGGTAAGTGGTTGTAAATAAGGTTGCTAAGAAATTCTCTCACTTAAAGATTTGCGCATCGCGTACACTAAAAATAACTTTAAATAATAAATTTTAATAATGGTGCTACTGTACTATAACTGTACCTATGTATCTAAATTTTCACAATCTGTTGAATATGATGTGTTGTCTTCTAAAGTACAAATTTTCTAGTAGTAATCTATGTGGCTTTGTCTTCGCATTTAGATCCTAAACTAAAAGAACTTGGTGAAGAGAAGGTAGCTGAATGGAAAATGTGGTTCGATAATCGTCTGGACGATGCAATTGAGGCCGCGGATTATCAAGGCAACAATGCTAGTATCACTGAATGTATGTTCATTTTAAAAATTCAATTATTAAAGTGAGAGAATTTAAAAAGCAACATAATATGTGTGCTATAATATTTCTAAGAACTATATTTATTTTAATTAGCCAAAGATGATATAAAATCCAAAGCTTCTGTGTCAGCATTAGGTCTGTCAAATGACGATAGCAAAAAAAAATATGGTAAGTGAAAATTATTTTCGGATTGACTTTTGAATTATGCAGTCCTTTTTTTTTTAGAAAATTTGCAAACACAAGTAGAAACATTGCAAACTGAAATNGCTTTTTTTTAGAAAATTTGCAAACACAAGTAGAAACATTGCAAACTGAAATCATGAACGTACAAATTAAATATCAAAAAGAACTGGAAAAAATGGAAAAGGAGAATCGCGAATTGAGGCAGCAGTATTTAATACTCAAAACAAATAAAAAAACGACAGCGAAAAAAATAAAAAAGTCGCTTATTGATATGTATTCGGAAGTTCTTGATGAACTCTCAGGCTACGACACGAGTTACTCCATGGCCGATCATTTGCCTCGCGTTGTTGTTGTTGGAGATCAAAGTAGCGGTAAGACTTCTGTATTGGAATCTATTGCAAAAGCACGAATTTTCCCCCGAGGCAGTGGGGAAATGATGACGCGTGCGCCAGTAAAAGTAACTCTCGCAGAAGGACCATACCATGTAGCGCAATTTCGTGACTCCGACCGAGAATATGACTTAAATAAGGAGTCTGACTTAGCAGAGCTTCGTCGTGAAGTTGAATTACGAATGCGAGCTTCTGTTCGTGGCGGAAAAACCGTTAGCAACGAAGTAATATCGATGACCGTAAAGGGTCCAGGCCTACAGAGAATGGTTTTAGTAGATTTGCCTGGAATTATATCGGTAAGAAAGAAAGAAAAAAAAGTGTGATATGTATATGTAAATGAAGTACTTATATGCAGCATCATATATATTTTTATGCAGACAATGACTGTTGACATGGCGGCTGATACGAAGGATTCAATTCATCAAATGACGAAACACTACATGAGCAATCCTAATGCAATCATTTTATGCATACAAGATGGTTCAGTAGATGCTGAACGAAGTAATGTAACAGATTTGGTAATGCAATGTGATCCATTGGGACGACGCACCATATTTGTATTAACCAAAGTTGATTTGGCGGAAGAGCTTGCAGATCCTGATAGGGTATGTTAATAATATTATTATTGTAACACCTTAATATTATTAATGAAATTAATTTGAATTAGATTCGAAAGATTCTCTCTGGCAAATTATTCCCTATGAAAGCATTGGGATATTATGCTGTGGTGACTGGTCGTGGTCGGAAAGATGACAGCATTGAAGCAATTAGGCAATATGAAGAAGATTTCTTCAAGAATTCCAAACTTTTTCAGTAAGTAGTATCTTTTTGTTATGTTGCTGTTATTTTTTATTTATATGTGTTTTAAGTCGGCGAGGTGTAATAATGCCTCACCAAGTGACTAGTCGAAATCTTAGCCTGGCTGTATCTGATCGATTTTGGAAGATGGTCCGAGAGACAATAGAACAACAAGCTGATGCATTTAAAGCTACCAGATTTAATTTGGAAACCGAATGGAAAAATAATTTTCCAAGGTAATTTTATAGCTCTTTTACATATCTAAAATTACTAATTAAAGAATATTTAGACTTCGTGAATCGGGAAGAGATGAGTTGTTTGACAAGGCCAAGGGCGAAATCTTAGATGAAGTGGTTACGCTTTCACAAATATCAGCCAAAAAATGGGAAGAGGCCTTGACAGAGAAGCTATGGGACAAGCTATCTAATTACGTTTTTGAAAATATTTACCTGCCGGCCGCACAGTCAGGTTCTCAAAGTAATATTATGTAAATATAAATTAGACTCTATCTTAGATGAGCTGATCCCTCTCGTTTTCCATTTTGTGGTGCATTGCAATTGACTAATACAAAAACATACATAAACATACGTTTGGATCGTTCTACGTAGAAATAACATAATGCCTAAATGTCTTGTTCGTTTGAGAAAGTGAAATAGCTTTAAATTGTAACGATTAACTATGCTTTGAAGTCCATATGTTTTCAGATTTCCATAAACTGGCATTTGCTTTGATTATCGTGCGCTTAATTTTTATTGTCTGACTGTTATGGCGATTTCGTTTCTATCGAAAAATGTTACCTTCTCCTTGACCTCTAAGCACAAACAGTAAGAGCCGGGTAACGCAAAGGCAACATTTTTTATGGAAACGAAAACGCCATTAGTTATTCAGTTTTTTGTTACATCAAATGCTCATGTGAAATAATGAGATAATTTTTACAGATTCTTTTAATACGATGGTTGATATAAAGCTCCGGCAATGGGCCGAGCAGGCTCTGCCAGCTAAATCTGTGGAAGCAGGTACATTATTTTCAAATTAAAATTTGTTTTCTCTAACGAAATGTCAATGTTATCCGTAGGTTGGGAAGCGCTTCAAAATGAATTCATTAACTTAATGGAAAAGGCGAAAAAGTCACCAGATCATGATGACATATTTGATAGTCTCAAAGGTGCTGTCGTGGATGAAGCAATCCGTCGACATTCGTGGGAAGATAAGGCTATTGACATGCTTCGAGTTATTCAACTTAATACATTAGAAGATAGATTCGTTCATGATAAAACTGAGTGGGACCAAGCCGTAAAATTCTTGGATACATCCGTAAGGGCTAAACTTGCACATACTGAAGAGACTTTAAATGAAATGCTGGGTCCCGGGCAATTTACTCGCTTAACACACTGGAAATCATTGACAGAAGACCAATCTAAACGACGTTACGTTAAAACGGAACTAGATAAAGTACTGAAAAACGATGATGTGAGTTAGCCATTGTGAAATAAAAATTAAAAGTATTTCGGTCTATTTACTATTTATGTTTATTTATAGAAACACTTACCCACTTTGTCCTACGACGAGCTAACAACAGTGCGTAAAAACTTGCAGCGTGATGGCATCGAGGTCGATACAGATTACATTCGTCAAACATGGTTCCCCGTCTATAGAAGGTATAAAATGTATTAGAAGGATAAAAATAGTCCACTTTTAATCAAATTTCTTTTTGAATTCTTTTTGAAACGAAGTTTTATTTCATTATTTCAGACATTTCCTCAAACAGGCACTGCATCGTGCAAATGATTGCCGGAAAGCGTATTATTTGTATAGTCAACAGGGTGCAGAATGTGAGGTTTGTAATATGGTGGAAAATTATTTTATTTAAGATTTCAAAAATTATTTGGTGGCTTTTAGATAAGTTGTAGTGATGTTGTGCTCTTCTGGCGAATTCAACAAGTAATCAAAGTTACTTCGAACGCATTAAGACAGCAAGTCATTAACCGCGAAGCACGCCGTTTAGACAAGGAGATCAAAGAGGTTCTAGATGAGTTCAGTGATGATGAGGAGAAAAAGGCACAGCTGTTGACGGGAAAGCGAGTCACCCTCGCAGAGGAATTAAGTACGTTTGTTAAATTGAAAACTTAATTTAAAAAATTTTACTTAAACTTTTTTTAAAACATTCTTCATTTAAAGTTAAAGTGCGGCATATACAGGAAAAATTAGAGGAATTCATCAATTCCCTTAATCAGGAAAAGTAACCCTTTGACGCTGTCTTGGATCTCTAGTCGTTATTTAGAACTCATCTCCATGATTTTGACCAAACGATTTCAGTTAATATTGTTTTTTTTTATCTTTGTGATTAATGTATTTAAAATGTGGCTTTGTTATTAAAGCGTGAAAAAAGATCAATAAAACAATAAAATAAGTACGTGCATGAAATGAAACTTAACTAAATAAAATGTGATTCGTGATGCTTGTACCGAAAAATATATTTTTTTACCTAGACTTTTGTATATGAACCAGACTTGGAAAAATTGGTATGAACCTACAATCGCTCATTTACTCCTTTTTTGATTTTTTGTTTTGTCACTGCAGACTCCTTACGAAATCACGTTATACTTGTATGTATATTTTATTGCGTAAAACGTAGCTTAGAGAGCGGTGCCCGATGAAGCGATTCCAACGACGATCCAATTCAATGTTCATCAACATTCCCACGACAGCCGGTTCTACGTACCGGAATGACTCGGGTTTTNCATTTTATTGCGTAAAACGTAGCTTAGAGAGCGGTGCCCGATGAAGCGATTCCAACGACGATCCAATTCAATGTTCAACATTCCCACGACAGCCGGTTCTACGTACCGGAATGACTCGGGTTTTACCCGACCAAGGGCTGTTGTTTCGGCGATCTAACCCCGTTTAGGTCGACGAAGTATCTCAGAAGTTGTTCGTCAATAGGGCTACATTCGCTACGTTTTCTCCTACTCAGGGCTGGCATCGAGTCAAACCCAGAAACCTACACCTGCTGTGTATGCCAGAGACGACTACACCACAACTCCAGCTCTGTCAAGTGAAATGCTTGGGAGGGGTGGTGTCACCTCAGAGTGTGCTCAGGACTACGGACACATCGGCAGTGGACCAC